AATAATATAGGTAAGTTGCTTGGAACAATGTCTGACATGTAGTAGGCCCTTGATAAATGGTGATTTTTAACAGTAAACTTTCCAGACAAAATAGAAATTGGTGGTTTTTTGCAAGTTTTAATGAAAAAGAATTCCATTTTATTTGAAAAACGTTAGTAGATAAAATATTTTAGAACTGTTTCACCTACTTTAATGAATCAAGGATATATCAAATGCAATTAAAAAAATTATCCCAAAGGACTAGTCACCTTGATTTATGTATTTTTTTTTACCACTTTTATTTCATAAGCTCGACATTTCCATTAAAATGCTATTAAGTAAAAACAGGATCTCACAGTATTTGTGATGGCTTGGATCTCAGTGTGATAATTGGAATTATCTCCAGCAAAGATACCATTTCTCATTGTTTTATTTCCTCTTACATATCAGCTTTATCTTTAGTGCCTTCTTCCAGCTCAGTAAAACCACCTCCCTCTGAATTTGTGGTTGAGTTCATGAAAATAATATCTGTGGCTTTGAAGACCCTTTTCATCATGAGGTTATTAACTGAGATTCAGGAAGGATGGGAAATGGTAGTCATCCACTAAATATAGCAACCCTTGAAAGAAATGTGAAAGACTATAGCTAGAAGAAAAAACAGACTCATTCTGCAAGGCTCTGGAGGAAGGATGGGAGGCAGGAGTTGGATCCTGGAGAATGACATCCGCTGGTTACCACTGGGACAACCTTTCTAGTTTGAGGTGTCCCAGAGGTGGTGGGGTTCCCATCACCAGGGCAATCCCAGCTAAGGTCATGACCCTGGACGATGTCCTGACCAAATGACTAGCTGGTGTTAATGTCCTTATCTACCTGGGTTTAAATTTCTTCTCTAAAGTCATTTCAAAAATATTCTGGAACTAGATAGTGGTAACAGTTACACACAATGTGAATTGCACGAAATACCACTGAATTGTACATTTTAAAATGGTTATAATGGTGAGCTTTATGTTTGTTATTATACTATGATAAAATAATAAATGGCATCATTGGACAGAATGATCTCCAAAGCCACTTCTAACTGTAAGATTTTATGCTTCTGAGAAGGAGCACATCTCTCAAGGGACTGATCACTGACTCTAGTCAAATGACAGGCCATGTGACACTAAATCTCTAACTGAGGGAGAATGGTTAATTAATACAGAATACTTCATGTCATGAGAAATTACACTCATGAAAACACTTAATGCCATGGGAAGATACTTACAATGTAAAGTATAAAAAGAAGGATTTGGAATGCATATAATGTAATCCTAACTTTATAAATATAGATAAGAAATCAAAATGTTAATAGTATCGATCTCAGATTGTAGAATTACAAATGATTTTGATTCCTTTATACATTTCTGAGAATGTCTACAAAGAGCATGACTTACTAATATAATCTTTAAATAACTTTTTAAAATAAAAAATCAATAATTCCACATAGGTTTTGTAACCCATAATGTGAACCATGATGTGTATTCGAACATCATGGTGGGTCGGCCGCAGTGGCTCACACCAGAATCCCAGGATATTAGGAGGCCAGCCAAGGCAGGAGGATCACTTGAGGCCAGGAGTTCAAGACTAGCCTGGTCAACGTAGCAAGACCTTATTACTACAGACAAATTTAAAAATTAGCCAGGCTGGCCAGGCATGGTGGCTCATGCCTGTAATCTCAGCACTTTGGGAGGCCAAGGAGGTCAGGTCACCTGAGGTGAGGAGTTCGAGAGCAGCCTGGCCAACATGGCAAAATCCTGTCTCTACTAAAAATACAAAAATTAGCCAGAGGTGGTGGCATGCACCTATAATCCCAGCTACTTGGTAGGCTGAGACAAGAGAATTCACTTGAACCCAGGAGGCGGAGGTTGCAGTGGCAGTGAGCCAGGATCTTACCACTGCACTCCAGCCTGGGTGACAGAGCAAGACTCCATCTCAGAAAAAAAAAAAAAAAATTAACCAGGCTAATGGTGGTGCACACCTATAGTTCTAGCTATTCAGGAAGCTGAGGCTACAGTGAGCTGTGATTGTACCACTGCACTCCAGCCTGGGTGACAGAGTGAGCCCCTATCTCTAAAAAATAAAAATAAGAAGAAGGGCTAGGCATGGTGGCTCAGTGGCTCATGCCTGTAATCCCAGCACTTTGGGAGGCCGAGGTGGGTGGCTGGCTTGAGGTCAGGCGTTCAAGACTAGCCTGACCCACATGGTGAAATCCTGTCTCTACCAAAAATTAAAAAAATTAACCGAGCATGCTGGTGCACGCTTGTAATCCCAGCAACTCAGGAGGCTGAGGCAGGAGAATGGCTTGAAGCCAGAAGAAGAAGGAGAAGGAGAAGAAGGAGAAGAAGGAGGAGGAGGAAGAAGGAGAAGAATTAGGATAGCAAAGTAGAAAGAGCAGTGGATTATAAGAACTGACTTCTAATTCCAGTTCAGCCAGACGATATAGGCGCGGCAGCTTGTCAAGCCTCAGTTTCTTCATCTGGAACAGGGGCATAGTCTTAACAGCCTCCTGCACAGAGTGGAGTGAAGAGCAAACGCCCCCCTAGCTGTGGGACGGTTCTGCTGACTGAGGAGTCCTCTGAGCTATTTTGACTGTTATTGCGTGCATTCCAACTGTACATTTCCAAATCTTTCCTTGAATAAAAACTTACTGAGTGCTTATAAAGCCATTGATTGCCACTTACCCAGTAATTTAAGGGCTAATTTCCGGTAAGGGTGTCGCCTTTTTTCTCATCTTTCTTCCTATGACCTTAATGGGAAAACATTTCATTTCATCTGAAAAGCAACCACCTGATATTTACTGTCTTAAGTTCAAGGTGATGATGACAAAATCATTTTAGCTAAAGGAAAATTGCAGCCCTTTGGGCACATTTGCCTCTCCCAAGGAGCAGGACTCTCCTCTTTGTAGGAGGGAGTATTTCTTTCCTTAAAACCCTCCACACTGTTGAAGTTGCAAAGAGATTTTCCCCTCATGCTTCTCTGCTTCTGCCCTCTGCTTGTCCTTACTTTGAGACCAGCATCAAGACCCACTAAGGAGGAACTGGGAATAGGCCTTCTGGGACTTCTTATTCACACAAGGGAGTTTTTCCTAGAGGCTGGCTCCTTGGACTGGGATGAAGAGAGGACCCATTCAGGCAGGGCTGTCACGTATGTTGTTTTGCATTGAATTTAAAAGAGCTTACAGGTTACCACACATGGTAACCTCGATATTTTAAGGCTTATGTTGCAAACTTTTTCAATTCAACAGATTCATTGAAACTTTCCCAAACACCAAGCGTGTGCCAGGTCCTATAGAAATAGGAGTTCAATTTCTATGTGAAATAGATGTAGGCCGTGCCTTCAATGCGCTCACACAATGGTGAGAGAGACTGGCATGTAAACCAATGCAGTGCAGGCATGATAGAGCAAACAAGGAAGCAGGTCCAAAGAATGGAAGGCATGGGAGAGGGACCAGTGTGGTCAAGAAGACATCGCAGCTGGTTCTGAAAGTGGAACAGAGTGTACCAGGTGGCCAGGGCCAGAGGAAAGCAGGCACAAAGACACCCAGGTGGCCCAACCTGGGCACTGATGACGTGCTTGCTTGGAAATGAGAGCACTGGGCATGAGGCCATTTAATAAAAAGTAGAGAACAGTCCTTGGTACCATTAACAGCACCACATCTCAGTACCATGAGGTGTCATCCTAATTTTCTTGGATCAGTTAGTCCACCAGCAGCATTTACTGACCATGTATAACATGCTCAAGGTTCTGTCTCAGGAATGAACACAACAGGTGGGAGAGGGTTACACCTGGCCCCAGATCCTGACAGGATAGGACCCAGGAGTGGGAACTGAGCTGCAATTGCAGAGAGGGCCTTTGAGTGTGGAAGGGAGCTGGGTGTCCGGGGGCCATGGAGTCTCTGGTTCCAAGGCAGGCCAATGAGTGGCGGGTTGGGAGGAGCAGCACTCAAGGCTTGGGCTGGAACAGTGTGCCTGGTGAGGGCAGTGATTAGAAATGAGGAGGCCGGAGAAGAAGTCAGGAAGGGCCTCCAGTGCCAGAGTGAGCAGTTCAGACTCGGGAGTCCTCAGTGGTTTTAGCAAGTAAGTGACTCAGCCAGGTTGGCTTAAAAAGAGGTGACTCAGGTGCCAGTTTGGGGGATGGATCTATGGATGGGTAAAGCCAGAGGCAGGAGGGCCTTTGCTACACCCCAGGTGGGGGCAGAGCAGGGGTTGGCTGCAGGACTAAGGAAGCAGAACTAACGTGCAGGCGGAGGCAGAGGAGGAGTCGGCATTTATTCTGCGCATTCCTGTTGGGTGACTGGTGGATGGTTGTGACATTCAAGGAGATGGGGGACATAGATTTGGGGTGAGGGGGAATAATACGTGGGTTTAAGGTGAGAAGAACATTCCGAGCTAGAGGTGGATATTTAAGAGTTATTAGCTGATAATTTTCTTGAATGTCAAAATAATTTCTGAATAAAATATCCAGACTAAGGAATCACAACACTATAATCATTTTTGTATGAATTCCAAATTTAAAAAAAAAAAAAACAACAGTAAAGCCAGAAACATAATTGTTCCTATTCCTAGAATTCGGTAGCTGATGCGTCTTTGCAAATTGTTCGTTGAACCGTGCTCTGGCTTCTTGCCAGCCCTCAATGAGATTTTTATATTTCTTAATTATTCAATTACTACCCATAAGTAAGAGTTTGAAATCAAAGCCAGACTGCTACATAATAGAGTATTCTCTTGAATCGTGAGTACAGTAAAGGAAGGTTTTCATGCTGGGAAACCAGGATGGGTGGAAGGAGGAAGCACACGTTTCCAGCCCTGGCTCTGCCTTGACTTCACGTCCTGGCTTTGCTGTGTGCTAGCTGTGTGAGCAGGTCACTTCTCTGCGGTCAGTCCTGCCACCTGTAAAATAAAAATATTGGCAATGCTGCCTTCCAAGGAGGTGGTAGATCTGCAAGGGAAAGTGTTACATCATTCATTCCTTGTGTGTTTCAGGTCTCAGCAGCTTGAAAAACCATTCAGTGGCAAGGAAGATGCTTTGGACGGCGAGCTGACCAGTGCTCCAGATGGCAACGCCAACCCCGAAGCCCACCTGCCCTCCATTTGCCTCAAGCAGGTGTTCCCCAAGTACGCAAAGCAGTTCAACTACCTGCGCCTGGTGGACAGGATGGCAAATTTGTTTATCCGGTTCCTGGGAATTAAGGGGTCAATGAAGTTGGGACCAACAGGCTTTCGTACCTTCATAAGGTGAGTGAGAACAACCCCCTCTGGCTTGGGCTTTAGGTAGGGTGGAGTCCAGTCTCACGTCTGGCTGGTTGGGTCTCCTTGACTACCCTTGGGAGAATCTGTGGTGCTGGGTCAGTACCCCACTGGAGCTTGGATCAGCCTAGTGGCTGGCACACGGTAGACTCTCATTCGTTGAGTGAATTAATGAATATGATGGATGTGACAGCATTCACAACCTTATGTTCATGATTAAAAAGCAATTCTGTGCCCACCTTGAGCTGAGTCCAGAAAACGCATATTAATAATCGCCCCTTGGAGTCAGGCAGACCTCGTGCCTCTTAACCAGGCTTCTCCCAGTGGTGCGTGGCTGTGTGCTTGGCGTTCGTGAAGCCACAACAGAGAAGCAAAGCACATCTTTCCAAAGTGTCAGTTTCAGGAGGGAAAAGTTAAATAATTCAGCTGATAAACATTTTAATACATTTGTTCTAATATAAAAATAACGTGGCTATGTTATAAAGTATAATGCAAAATTTGCATGAAGTTTAAAGATAAAACATGAGATAAAGAAATCATATCTTTGCTGCAGCCTGCAAAGTAAGCAATTGCCACTTGTTTTCCTGAGATTACATATTAATTTCCCTCTACCCTGTGGAGCACTTTGGGGCAATACAGCAGCATTTACTAGCTTCTAGGGCAAGAAACCCTAGGGCACCCCTAAACCTCAATGACTTTATCCTGACAAAAGAGGATGAAGCTGTCTATGGCCTACAATAGTGTGTGTAAGATTAGTTAAGATTCCATAGAAACATCTAGCATGTGGTAACTGATCAATAAATGTCAGTTTCTTCTTACAAGGTTAAAAGAATTTCATTAAATTATATGTATATTTATATAGATATATATGTTCTTACACAGAGTCTTGATCAAAGAAGGTTCCCACTAAGTATGTATTAAACTGATAACCCTAGATCCCTTTAACAAATAGAATCGGCTATACTAGGGAATTGCTCCTTAGCAATTAACTGCGGCCTATACACCCCGAGGAGCACGTCTGCTAGGACTCAATGTTGCTGTTGTTTTTCTCATCACTGATTTTAATATTTTTGTCTTGCACCTCAAAGTCACACTTTCTACAGTTTTATTCACTAAAATAATTAGAAGTCTTGAGTGGGAAACCACTTTCGTCAAAAGCTTGTCTCCAAAGAAGTTTTATAAATTCTAACTCTAGCCCTCTGCTATTCCTGATAGGATGGTAAACAGAAGTATTGGCAGGAATTTTGCCCTTTCAGTACACCTGAAGTAGTATTTTTGCATGCTGACTTTGAGAAGGGATTTGTGTTAGTTTCAGGAGGTAGGGCTGGGATGGGGGAGAGAAGCCCAGTGGAGAGAGGACAGACTTTTGAGATCAGACAGACCTGGCTTCAGAGTCAAGCACGTTACTTAATAGCTGTGTGGCAAATTCCTTATCTTCTCTGCACTCAGTTCTCTCATCTGCAAAATGGGAACAATTGTTCCTGCCTTACAGGATTGTTATGAGGTTGGGATAATTTGTCACAAAGCAGCTGGCCTGATGCCTAGTTCATGGGAGCTGCTTGTTCAGTGGGAGTCTTGTGCTTATTATTCCATCAGGCAGTGGGAAGTTTCAGGCCCATGTTATTATTTGCGCTGAAAAGACTCCCTGACGATACTCTCTGACTCACTTAGGAATTACATTTGGCTTTCAGAAATAGGTAACCATCTACAAATAGCTTAAATAGTAATTTTCTTTCATACAACAGGAGCTTTTGCAGTGAGGGTTCTAGAACTGGCGAGTGACTCCACAGCCATTCAGTTTGATCACAGTCATTCAGTCACAGTATGATCCATGTTCCACTTTCTGTCTTTTTGCTCATCCATCCTAAATGTGTACTTCTGCTTCAGGGTTGTCTTATAGTCACAAGAGGGCTGCTCAAAGCCCAGCCATCATGGTTGAGTTCCAGGCAGAAAGGGGAAGAAGGGGAGGAAGAAAACAGGCCTCCACAGATGAATTAGATCCCTTTAAAAGGGTTTCCTGGAAGCTGTATTCAGTGACTCCCCCTTCCATCTTACTGACTGCCAACATCTGCATGGGAAGCTGGGAAACAGAATTATTATAACTGTGCGTGGTGTTGTCCCATTAGAGTGAAAAAGAGAAGTAAAATAACAGATAGGTAGGCAGGCTCTGCCCCTTTGTGATTCCTGGACCTTGTAACATGAGGAAATAGCTTAGTGACAGAGGCCCCAGGTCATGAGGGCACTTAGGGCACTGTGGAAGTATATCGGGACCCTGGAGAATGATGAGATTGAGCAAGCTGGGGTGCTTGTCTCGGCATAAGGGCACAGACCTTCGGAGCAAAGGCAGAAGCTTTCTTGGCCCTCCCCAGCTTTTGTGCCATCACACAGAAGACTCAGTTCAAGATCACAGAACATGAGGGCTAGACTTCACGGGGATGACATCTAGGGAGTTTCAGGGAACCCTGGTCCTGTGAGATCTGTTCTGTCTCAACCTTACGTTATAAAGGATTATGTCTGGTTTGAGCTAACAACTGTTCCGGAGCACCTGGTAGCCATGGGACACTCGAAGGCAAATGAAAGGACCCTGCCTGCCCTCAAAGGGCTGCCAGTCTAACAGACAGCATGCAATGAACACGTAATTAAATGCAATGTTTTGGCAGAGTCACAGGGTGGTGGCTCATGGACTCCCCAGCAGGGCAGCATTTGGTGTGCTACAGGTATAGAATGTGGGAGGTTTTGCCTCCCTAGTGGAATCAAGGCAGGCCCCCGAGAGGAGGCAGGGTTTGGACTGGTAGAAGCAGGATTTTTCCAGGCAGCAGGGAGAGCCTGAGAATGGATGGCACGTATAGCCCAAATTTAGAAGTTAGAGTGGTTTATCATCTAGGCTAAATTGCTGGTAGAGACGGAAATGCTTCCTTTTTACTCCTTATAAAGTCCTACCTGAACTCAGAAGGAGAGATTTGAAAAATTATTTATGGTAAGAATCACCATCTCACTTGCCTATAGGTTAGGCAGGAGGCATCAGCTGTCACAGAGGGCTGGGCAGACAAGGTCAGGGAGGGAGGCAGGCTGTGGCAAGCCGGAGAGCACATCTCGGTCTAAGGGAAGGCGTTGCTGGGCTCACATCACCAGAGCTTTTGACTTTTCCATCCTAAATATCTATGTAAGATTTCAATACGTATCTATAAATGTTGGCCATTTGAAAAGTAATTTTAAACACTGTGGATTCAATGAAAGCATGACTGCCCATCGACACCATTGGTGGGTGACTTCTGGTACGAGAGGAGGAGGTACCTGTTAAGAGAACTGCTATGACTCTTGGAAAGAAATAAATAATTGACAATGGCTCTAGCCAAGAAGATTCCTAACATGCTCTCAGACTGGAACCGGGCGAGGTCAAAACTATTGCCACACATCTGTCTCCGTGTGATAGGCTTTATGATTTTCCACCCTTTTGTTCTCTATAATTAAGGGCATTTGCATGAAAACCTGGGTTTTGTGACCTTACAGACTATTAAGTCCCTGCAGCCATCATTCCCAATCAGTGGCCAGGCTCGATTAGGGAGCCATGGTGACTGACCATGACACTGAGACCCACGTCTTCAAGTGGGGACCAGGCAGCCAGGGCACGGGGACTCAGACTGAGCCCTCTCTCTGCTCCCTCCCCTCCCAACAAATGCATGTAGTGATTAAAAATGCAGGAAGAAATGGAGAAAGCATTACACAATCTTTACTAGATTGTTTTTTTCTTTTTTGAAATGGATGAAGGCTATGCTGAAGCTCAAGAGATGGGACATGACTTGCCCAAGGTCACACAGCCAGAATTCATGTCTAGTCCTTCCTCGGAAGACAGAGTAGTGGGTTTGAGAGCTGTGGGGAGGTGGAGTTGGAGTCTCACTCTATTGCCCGGGCTGGAGTGCAGTAGTGCGATCTCGGCTCACTGCAAACTTTGCCTCCAAGGTTTAAGCAATTCTCCTGCCTCAGCCTCCTGAGTAGCTGGGACTACAGGTGTGTACCAAGATGCCTGGCTAATTTTTGTATTTTTAGTAGAGATGGGGTTTTACCATATTGTTCAGGCTGATCTTGAACTCCCGACCTCAGGTGATCCACCCACCTCAGCCTCCCAAAGCGCTGGAATTACAGGTGTGAACCACCGTGTCCGGCCGGATTTTTCTTTTTCAAATGTACCAAAAAATCCTAACAGCAACCTAATCATAAAAGATGATATTCTCCGCCTTTAGATTTCTCTGAGTATGTTCAGTCTTGCCAGCTAAATTTAACAGCATGCATTTTCTCTTGCTAACAACCCTTCTCTCTCTTCCTTCTACTTTGGTTTAAATTTTGCTTCATTATGAATTAATAATATTTATGCCATATGTTAAATCGAACCAAGTGCCCTTCTCAGGAGCACTTTGAAAAAGACATATTGGCTGGCGAGATATACACTCCTCTCAGTGCTCCCACGCAAATGGCAGAGGCTGAACTTGCTTTTCATCTGTTCTACCCACTCTCTCTCTCCAAGTTCCTTGAAGAGAACTAGAGGGAAGAAAATAATAAACACTCCAGTTGAATTTATTTCCAGTGTCCATCTCTTATAATGTGCTGCATAGATCAGCAGTTTTCGGAGTGAATTATGCTAATGCCAGTCTGGCCATCTTCTATTTTTCCTTTTCACCAAGAAATGAGAAATAATGAACTGTTCTTCTCTCGTCTAGACTTAACTCTCTCTCACCAGCTTTTCGTGTCACTTCCTCAGGAGGCACATGATAGTAGCGCATATTACCATGAATTAAGTGCCCCTTTTCTTTCTTTTTTAACATTTTATTTTATAATAATTGCTGGGGTGTGAAGCCATCTTTTTCCCCGAGAAATAGACATGATCTGATTGACTCTTCAGCTTGACAGCTTTCTTGGAGGGAGATGCGTTTTTGTCGTTCTCCTTCCTCTAGATTACTGATTTGGGGGCCATCTATGTAATTCACGAAGGG